CCTTTCAGCCGTGGGGGCGTTATAATGTGACGGTCAATCTCAATATTCGTTGGTAAAAGAGTAGCCCAAGAGTTGGCGGTGGGTGGTGATGAATAGCTGCCTTCCCTCTAGTCGTACACTGCTAAGTTAGGGACGGCTAGCGCAGATAACCCTCGTGTAGCCTTGCGCGAAATTCAAAAAACAAACAAACTGTAAATCGTATTCTATTATATTGTTTGGGCTGTCTTTTACACAACTCGTTAAAAGTCAGATATTTCAAACCTGTGCCAGTATTAGGGAACTGATCGAAAAAATATATCGTATAGTCAGTAAATATTCATTATTTCCGTCCATAGTAAACCGTTATTTCTTCTAAAGAATATCAAGAATTGGGTTAATTCAGATGTTTCAGAGTTTTCGTCAATGCTGAAAGAAGTAACCATCTGCATGACTGAAATATAATGTTGTTGTTGTTTTTATGTATTCTAGAAAGGCCTCTGAAGTTTGACCAAAATTACAGTACACAGTAGAACGCAATGTACGTGTAATTTCTGTTTGTTAATTTTACAAGGTTCAAGGTTCGAGACGCAATGCAGCTGAACACGTTCTGTACTTTCAGCTATGAACGGTTGTAGGTGAGAGACAATGATTGGATTTTTGTAAATTCAATGTGCCCGCCATCCAACTGTTTCCAGATGTTGCAAATAGCAAATTACTTAGTGGCATATCGTTGGCCGAATCGTCATGGACGTTAACTTATTACAGAAACCTAACGACTTCTGAATTTCACAACACAGTTTTCTTCCTCTAGAGGGTGTAAACTTTAAGCTGATGTATGATTTGGGTTTGTGATTCACGGACGCATTAAATTCCAACTATAGAAGCCTTTTCCAAAATGGCCGCTAGCCTATTATACACGTGACATTCAACCCCATTATTCGTTTTCAGGACTAGAACAAGGCCCCTGAGGCGACGGATACTGTTAACTGGGTTTCCTAACTATGGTCAGTAGTTCAAAATTATGAACGGCTATATAGGAACCTTGGTATCTCTGACCATGGCTATTTAGTGCGTGTGCTCACAAGATACAGTTCAGGTTGAAAATACCAATATCAATATTCACTCTATGTAGTATCAATATTCACTCTATGTAGTATCAACATACACTGTATGTAGTATCAATATTCACTCTATGTAGTATCAACATACACTGTATGTAGTATCAATATTCACTCTATGTAGTATCAACATACACTGTATGTAGTATCAATATTCACTCTATGTAGTATCAATATTCACTCTATGTAGTATCAACATACACTGTATGTAGTATCAATATACACTATATGTAGTATCAACATACATTATATGTAGTATCAATATACACATACACTATATGTAGTATAACATACATTATATGTAGTATCAATATACACATACACTATATGTAGTATCAACATACACTGTATGTAATATCAATATACTCTATATGTAGTATCAATATACACTGTATGTAGTATCAACATACACTGTATGTAGTATCAACATACACTGTATGTAGTATCAATATACACTATATGTAGTATCAACATACACTGTATGTAGTATCAATATACACTGTATGTAGTATCAACATACACTGTATGTAGTATCAATACACACTGTATGTAGTATCAATATACACTATATGTAGTCAGACAAATATGAACGAGATATAACTTTGTGGAAACTTTTGTATGCGTAATGAGTAATAACGTTATCTTTGTGGTTAACAGTGATGGTAATGGTGACTACCTTTAAAATTTACCGAAGAAGGCTATTGCACTGTGACATCAGAATATGTACATTATTTGAAACACTTTGTGTTAGTTTGGAAATGAGCAGGATGTGGCTTGGTGGTGAAATGTGCAAAATCCAAATGTGATGTCGCTGAGTGCGCTCCACATTTACAGTTGTGAGTGTTTATAAAGGCAACAATTAATCCCGTTATTCGGTTTAAAAAACTGAACAAATTCTGTCTGTCTCTGGTTAGAGAGCTCAACTTACAATTTATGGGTCGTGGGTTCGAATCACATCTCTAAACATGCTCGTCCTCTCAACCTCAGTGGTTGTTATGATATTACGGTCAATCCCACTACTCTCCCTAGTATATCACTTCTAAATTAGGTACGTGAAATTCAACAAACAAACAAAGTCCAAGTGCGTATAAGTTGTTGTTCAGATTGAAAATTCCAGATCTAATTTTGAAAGTAGCAAAAAATATGGCACAAATGCAGTTTCTTTTATGATAAATGTGTCTCTTATTTCTCTAAAAGATGTCTGAATAACAGTGAACAAATATAATAGGTTAAAAAATACGCATGTCTGAACTCATCACTTAGCAGCGACAATAAAAACCGGTAAATTCGCGTGCACAATATGTTTATTTAAAAAGTATCTTCTAAATATAACGTTTACTTGAAATATAATTAATACCCAGTACTTAGTTAATCGAATCTGTAGGTCCGTGGGCTTTGTTTGAAATATATATAAAGTTTCTTGTCCCGTTAATATATTAATAATATAAGTAGGTTTATTTAAAGTTTCATTGTTACTTTTAATTACTTACTATCAGTGACTCGCAAGACATTTGGGATCAAATTACTATCTTTAGTGCAACAGTACCTCTTTAACTACAGGATTTCTAGAATAATACAAAATAATTCTAATCGCAGACACCGAAATATGTCAGTCCACTTGTCTTAGGCTTAGCATCAGTTAAGCCTTTATTAAGTACGGCCTATTTTCGATAAAGAGATAAATTAACACCGTAACTCGTGTAAGTTTTTGCTTTAGTTTAATTAGTGATAAACTTTACCGTATAAATAAATAAACTTATAATATTATTTTACGACCTAACATTAGACTTTTTTAAAACTTTGATACGATGTTGATATATTGTTGTACAAAATGACTACAAGAGTACGCTTACGTCCGCGTTTTGTTTACATCCGTTGAAACGAAGTGTTCGCGCATGTGCACTTAGATAGTAGGTTATTTTCAGGACAGAAAAAAGCTAAGTATTATTATAATAGGTTTATGATCTTAATATAAATATATATCAATGTAAGTTTTTTGTTACAAGAAACGCCTTCTTGATTCATCTATAATACGTATGAACTCGACGCCTATAACAGCAACAACACAAAAACCGACAAATTCATACAATATGTTTTATTCGAAGAGAATCTTCTAATTATAACAATAGTGGTATGTATTATCCAAAATTTGTAAATCATTTAAACTACATACATTTCATTTAGCATAAAAATTACATCGTGTACATAGATAGATGTACACGGTACAAATCATAAATCCGAGTTCAATGGTAGTAAAACCTTAGAAAATGGAAAATACTCTCGTTAAAATATTAATCAGGTCTGTATTGCTGTTTTTTTTCCTTAAATATTTTCACATATTGTTTTTGTTATTACATAAAAAAGCCATTATTCACTTCATAAACAGTAGCACAACATAAATGCATGTCAACTACCAGACACCATTAAATACAGATTGAGTGGACTTGGTCCATTGATACGCGTTTCCATGATGATACGTCAATTTTCACACCTTGTTTCAAATCACCAACATTCTCTTTTCATTTGTACTGATTATTAGCATTTTATAGGAAAGCTTCAAGGGAAATTAAAGCGTTTTGTTGCAACTGAGAGTTTGAGCCTAATAATAGGAATGGTCGTCTAGAAATGAAAGAAAACACCCGGACGGGGGGATAATCTAATTCGAACACCTTTCAACGTGAACTGGAGATGGGGATAATCTAATCCAAACACCTTTCAACGTGAACCAGACAGGGGAAATTCTAATTCGAACACCTTTCAACGTGAACCGGATAGGGGAATAATCTAATTCGAACACCTTTCAACGTGAACCGGACAGGGGAAATTCTAATTCGAACACCTTTCAACGTGAACCGGATAGGGGATAATCTAATCTGAACACCTTTCAACGTGAACCGGACAGGGGAAATTCTAATTCGAACACCTTTCAACGTGAACCGGATAGGGGGATAATCTAATCCGAACACCTTTCAACGTGAAATCTCTTCAAAATATGTCCAAATATAAATCCATGAATACAGGATATGTACGGATTTAGAAATACATCCAAGAATACATAGTGTGTATGGAGTTACAAAATAAACCCAGGAATGCAAGGTATGTTTGCAGTTAGAAGCAGCAGATGGAAGAAAATGGTTTACATGAAACGGTTGAAACCGATAAGTCAAATACTTTACGAATGAACATGGTCAAGCTTTGGAAAGGATAAAAAAAATTGTAAAATCGAATGAGTCGCGTGTGTTTATATATTACACAAAATTGCATTACAATGGACTGTTTCTATGTAACAAAATACACCTATTATCTTTTTTTGTTCTTACAACTATTATACAAAGTTAGATACTGCACAGCAAAAAGTTAAGAAACAACAACACACATTAAAGTTAGGTCGTAGAAAAAATATTTTTGACGAACAACAATAACCCAGATTTTATCGTTTTGGGCTAAAAATGGAGTACAAAAAATTTTTCTATACAATGTTCTATACAACTTACTTTTTCAGGGTAACGACGACATTTACATACGAGGAAAATTTATTTCTTATAAACAGGTCAGTCTTTGTTTTTTCAACATATTAAAAGTAATGTCAAAGATGTAATGTATGCTCCAAACTCTTATCCTGTCCAAATCCTATCCCTTTGGTCGTAATGCGCATGAGTTTGACGTGAACGAAACTTAAATATTCAAATAATATAAACCTACAACAATTCTAATGACACGTGCAATCTTTCACTCATTCCCTTCGGGTAGATTAGCCAAGTCGATAAAGTAGTTCGTTTTCGTCCTGTTGTATTTAATATCAGGAAGAACAAAAATAGAATGCAAGACGAGAAGGGGATAAAATTTGGCACATAAGGGTGTCAGACAGGTAAGGATTTAACGGCACACGTGTTCTAGTGTCGCCTGGACCAGTTAATTAAAGGCAGTTACTTGTGTTTGGATTGATTCTTCCACAGCTATTCTGCCTGGAATTCTGCGGGTGTGATTCTATCTCTTCACCAACCAAATTCAACATAAAGTTTTGTAAAATACTTATAATACAATAAAGAATAAATCAACTTTATCTTACACTCGTTGTTTTATATCAGCAGTCCTTAATACGGCGAATATATAAACACATAGATAATACAATTAATGACAAAAATGTCATTAGGAGACCGAGTTTCAAATGTATAAATATGAACCAACAGATGGCGCGTCAACGATGATCGTAGTACTTTTTAAGGTACTTTTTCAAACGTCCTTCCGACTGGAAAATGGCAAGATGGTCAGGAATATGTTGTTCTTTTTAGCCATTAAATTGTTTACTTCTATGATGTCCTTCTCTTTAACATTAACACCATCTATTTCTAAAATTTCGTCTCCTATGTCGATCAACCCAGAGAGCAAATTCATTGTTTCGTGATCTCTCATCCGGGACACGAAAACTCCTGAAAGGATCAAAACAATATATACGTGAATCTTGATTCATCATTGTTAGTACATTATATCTACCCATCCAATAATATATACCTTATTTTGTTGCACGATGTTAGTGAGATTATACACGGATACGAAATACCTTGAAGACTTACTTCTGGATCACGTTAACCAATTAAAATCCTTCTTTTTCCTAATACACTTTAGCATTTTCTATAGATAAGGATTTGCCAAATTGACAATTCAATGTTTATACCCAATGAATTATAAAAGTCATTATATTAAGTTTTTTTTTTATGAACTGTTAAACTATTTTTCGCATAGAAAACAATAGCTACATATTGCGGCTTTTTTTTTCAGTACCTGAAAAATCCTTAAAGAAACATCAAATGGATAAGACATGCGGAACAGCGAGTTACGACTTATGTAGGCATAATTACATCATTTCTTCTTATGAGCCCTTACCGATCATGTTCAATTTCGCATCCTTATCCCCCGACTTATCCCTCAAATAACCGACTTGTTTTTTTTTTAGACCATTAACTACTGGTTGGGGGAGTCCACATACTATATCATATCGAGTAATTTTATGTTTTTGCCTGTTAAGTGGGCCGGGTGTGGCCTAGAATTAGCGAGAACAGACAGTGAGCCCTCGTCCCACTGCCACAAAAACGTGCTCCACTGTTTGAGGCCATGGGCACGCTTTAAGAATGACAGTCAAATCCAGTCGATCAGACAAGAGCGGTACAAGAGTTGGCGGTCGGTGTTATTCACTAAATACCTTCCATCTAGTTTATCAGTTCAAAATTAGGAACGGTAGCCCTTATGTTGCTTTGCGTTAATTTTTTTTTCTGAAACACCAGTCAATCAGCCTGTTATGACAGTTCGGTGTAAAGCTTTTTGTGTGTGCGTGTTTAAAGCTCCACAATGGGCTTATACTAACTTTATTGTTCAAACCTTCCTTTGTTTAGCTTAAAGAGTAAAACTAATAAAGGGAAATTTCAAAACGTTTAGATTAAATCTCATTGTTTCAATTACAATGCAAGACATTTATACTACATGTATGTATGATTTCAAAGCCAATTACTTATTAACTGTGTAGGTAATTTTTACTTTCCCCTCAAGTCAAAATCAAAACGCTGATTGGTAAAAGATTAAACAACGTCTAAACTAACTTTGCCTTAATATTTAGCAAGGAATCTGTTTAAACTGAATAATTAATTAAAAAATACAACACTTTTACACAAGGCTAGTTCTGATATTAATGATTACATCATTTTGACACATGGTATCGAGTCATCATCAGGTAAAAATTTCTATCATTGTATTTTTGAATTAACCTTTGCCTTATTCTCTGCGGGATTGTGCCATGATAAGTGCCAGGATAGTTTTGTTTTCCATATAATGAATTAACCTGAATTAACCTGCACACAGGAAATATATTAATAAACTAGCTGTACTTGCGCCGGGTCCCTGAAAGTGTTCTGTTTCAAGATGAACAGTAATTAATATTTTTATTATTTGCTTTTCAAGTTCATATGTCATGCTGTGTTGTAGCCTACAGAATGCATAATTCTTCTCGTGATTCATAGCATGCGCACGTTTTAATGACGTCACGATATTAAAAATTGCAAAATTAAGCGTCTCTTATATGACATCATTTTAGTGTCTACTGACTGACTTACAGACAACACACTACTATATAGTGGTGCGAATGGTTAAAACAGGCGACTCCCCCTTTCGGGGATATAATAAAGAATAAAATATTATGATATAAACAGGAGGCTGCTTACCTTTGCAGTTTTTGATCCTGCCCCGAGCTACGAAAAATCCAAATGGCTTTTTGGGAGGCTTCTTGAGCTCCACTACTTGCGAGCCATCCACGTGAAGCTGAACCAGCTGACCCCACACGTGATCAGAGAGGGGTAGGGTATTCATGCTAGTATCCTCAGACGTATGGGGACTGGAATGTGGCATAATACTTCACGTGGGAAAAAAACAACAAAAAAATATCGCTGTTTCTCTTTTATATTAGCATGGATTATAAAAGTTAAAATCTCCGATTAATATCATGCCACACAAATGATAGTGACAAACATAAAAAGCACGACATAGTTGTTGTTAAAACAAGTTCCACGAACCTAATTGATATACAAACTCCATACAATTTAAACTTTACTTTGAAATGAGCATTCTGAATATTAAATTCGAAATCACCGATTACACAAAAGTGACGAAAAAGAATAAAAACTATTACATTTATATATATTTGAAAAACACGCTTCTTTCAAACAGATCTTTACTAAAATTAAACTTAAACCTTAATTTGTGCCTATTGTCTTCTACTAAGATGTCCCAGCAGTGGCCAAAAGGTAGCGTACAGGGTTGCGGGTCGGAATTTCCAAAGTTCGAACCGCAATGCAGCAAAACACAGTACGTAATTTCAGCTCTGCCTGCGTTATGAGAGTGACAGTCAATCCCTTTATTCTGTTCCAGGAGCTGGATAAAGGCTCTTACTGCCGAGTGGTTGGTTTAAAACTAGGGACAACTAAGAGGTCTCTTGACTTGCCCTTTAGCTCGTGTGGGCATAGGATGCCCATCAGGTTGAAAATATCGACAACGATCTACTGAGAGACTTTTCATTAAAGTTTGGATACTTACGAACTCTCAATCTTTAATCAAAGGAAGAATATTTATGTTTGGATATATGAGAGTTTGAGAAAAAAAAACACGTACTAAATATACGTTGAAAGTTCAAGTTAATCTCGCTCTAGACAACTAGTCTCATTAGAATCGTTTGCTTGGATCATTGAGCCCCGAAACCGACCATGATAATAATAGCGGAACCACTTTGTGGACAAAATACTAATTATTGTATAAAGACCTATTTTACGGAGTAACTTTGTCCCTAACAATCTATCGTCATTTCACCACGTACAATACAGTTAACTAACCAGTAGTATGAGAAAAATATACAAAAGGCAGGCAACATTTTCAGCAAAGCCACTTACCCCGAAGGTTTTTAGCGTTTAAGCTTCGCCTAAACTATACACTTTGTATGTAGTTAGAAATTTATGTTTCTTATACGGCCGTAAAAAGCGGTAAGGCCAGTCAGACCATGGCCTGACCACTTTTTCATGGCATACTTAGACACAACTTATGTATTCAAACTTGCTTCTTTTAATTCAATATATTACGCTTTGTGTATGCAGTGTTTGTAGTTATAATGGCTCAACATTCAATCTCATAGCATCAATTTTTCAAACATTTTTTGGGGGGAATGCCCCCCAGGCCCACTTAGAAATGTCAATGATCTGAACACTCCAGTATTGCTTCTTACGGCAATGTCTTACAACCAGTTGGAAAAGTAGGCTTACTCTAATCATGTAAACTAGTGAATCTTGAAAACCACTGAATCGATATGGTTAGTTATGTTATGATTAGTGATTACGGCCATCTATTACAGAATCATGTTCGAATCATGTTCTTTGGAATAGTTTTCACATCTTCAAAAGTCCGTATCCTACCTAAATCATAAAAACCTAGTACTTACGAGTCGTGACACACAGTGTCACTCTGATTGAGAGTCTTTCTTTTATCTCCTCTCATGCTCATGCGAATCCTCAGACTTTTCATAAAAGAGTGTGATCGTCGTGACCTGCGCGCATTTTCGAGTCTCTCCTCCTTATCAGGCCTGTAGACACGCTCCGTGCTGAAAGCCTTTTGGAGAGCGCTCTTGGCATATCTTGTGAAGCCCTGGACACGCTCCCTGATTGACTTTTTCGATGGGGACGATCCTTTGTATAGGGCAAAATCACTATAATAGAAACCACAGTTACAAATGATGCACTTTTTACAGTACATTTACACAAATGTGAATCTTATGAAAGAAAATATACGTTTATTTAAATAAACAATATTATATTGATAAATCCTTATCCTAATTTTAATGTCTGGTGACTTTAGATAAAATTGATAAATATTACTCTTCACTAATTTAAACTAGTTCACACCGAAACAGTTATTGTTCAAGCAATTTGATAGTATGAATACCGTCTCAACCACAACTGGATCTATCAGCCGACCTGAAGAGTCCTGGTATTACACGATAGGCCTCGACGGCACAGGCTATAGCAGATGTGGCGTTGTAAACATGTTATTACTTTCTTTACCTTCACTCAAAAGTGGTGGCACGGCGGTTTGTCTGCGGACTTATACCACTAGAAACCGGGTTTCGATACCCGTGGTGGGCAGAGCACAAATAGCCCTTTGTGTTTAATAACAAACAACAACATCACTCACAAGTTATTATAATACCCACACTGCACAGGAACGTTATTTAGAGCAAAAAATTGTTAGAAAAGTATATAGGGAAAAACGATACATAAAGTTCATCAAACGCAATTAAACGTGATTGTATATATATATATATATATATATCAACAAACAATCGACAGGAACAGCACGCACACT